TTTTTGTATTAGCCTTAAGTAATATTCTAATTTAGTGACACACGGAACTTTGGATTATCATTTGTTGCCACTTCAAATCATCAAAATTAAATGAAATAAACATTTGAATGCATCAGTCTGTGTGCAATGAATAAATATAATGTACAAGTTACACCTTTTGAATGCAATTACTGAAATAAATCAAGTTTTTCAAAATATTCTAATTTACTGGCTTTTACCTGTACAGGTTTTTTTTCTCAGGATGCATGATGTTGGAGTCATTGCAGACCTGTATTTATCTCATTTCCCCTCAAACTGCAGAAGAGCTGGTGGACAGAACAGAGGTTCTCATGCATTCCTAAAAAAAAAAGATTTTGTTCTAATGGCTTTCAGGTCTGAGGGACAGTACAGGTGAAAAAAAACATGTATGTAGACTTTTTCCTGTATTCTGTTGTCTAAAAGGTAAAAGTGTTCATTTCAAAAGGCAAAGGGCTTTCCCACATGCATCATATACCATTTGAATGACCGTACAATGATCCATCCAACCATTTGCTCTTGTTTATATCAGGGCTAGGTGGGGGGGGCTTCACCCTGTCCTTCCTCCAGGTTAAACCCAGAGCACTGATTGCAGATATGTAACGAAGAGAAACATTGTTCCACCAGATAACACCTTTTTAAAAGCTGCTGCTCTTAATGCATTTAACCGACCGACTCTTTTTCTGTCCTCGTTTCTCCAGAAACGTCATCCAGAGGAACGGATTCCCAGAGCTGCCGGAGAACAGACCAGCGCAGGGAGTGTTCCCGTGTGACTTTGCCTGGGGGGTGTCCGCCAACTCCATACAGGTGGGTGGCAGTGGTGTGTGTTCAATGCATGTACGGGGCGGGGGGGGGGGGGGGGGGGGGGGGGGTGGTGGGGAGGACGGAGGGGGGGGGGGGGGACAGAGGTCAGATAGTGAATCATACAAAATGCTTCCTCATAGTGGGGGCTTGACAAAATATTAACCTCCCTCTATTAACTTAAGTTGAGCTGAGACTAACTGTAGGCCTCGCTAATATTTAGTGGAGTTTCATTAACTCTGCGAAAGACACTGATTCCATTTATTATTTTTACTTTGCGAATATTTCCAGCGAACCCTGCTCACAGCCCCGTCACACATTTGTGTGCAATAACACAAAAAGCAACAGCTTACAGGTTGTTGTTTTTTTAACTGCCTGTTTGTTTTTCTTCTCCTCGTGGTTTAGGTGGAAACCACCCCCACCCAGTTTGTTGACCCCAGCGTTTACCTCTGGAACATCTCCAACAACGGGGAGCTGGTCAGGCTGGAGGGCCTCGGCGCGCCGCCCCCCCACAGAGCGGCGCACTGCGCCGATTACGCAACCGTCCGACAGCAGGTCAGGGCCGGACGTGTGTGCACCTAATAGCTGACAGGCCCCCGGAAAACTGGACGCTTCGTAGAGACAAAGTACAGATGACCGGTCACAGACCACAGCAAACCTGCTGAGTGCTGCTCTATCGCTGATGCACTCAGAAGGTCTGCTGCACATAGGAACATCCCCCCCCCCACAGAAATCTCACGTTTGACCCATTTGGCATGTGTGTGCATGTATTCACAGCATGTGTTTCAGTCGTATGACTGTAAATTTCGAACGTGCACACACACACTTATCCTCCTTGCCGCCTTCAGGTGGAAGAAATCAGGAAGGTGGGGGTCAACCACTTCCACTTCTCCCTCAACTGGTCGGCGCTGGTGCCGACGGGGGACGTGTCGCGGCCCAACGCCACCCTGCTGGGCTACTACCGCTGCTTCAGCCGCCAGCTGCTGCGGGCCAACGTCACGCCCGTGGTCACCCTGTGGCACCACACGCACCAGCGCAGCAGCCTGCCCGCCCCGCTGGACGCCGACAACAAGTGGCTCAACAGGTGGGGGGGTTCATCCCCAAAGGGTTCATCCACTGATGTTAAATAGCTTTTTAGCTCTGGTTACATTAGCAACATTCAACATCATCGAGTGCGAATGAGCTTCCATGGCCTTCTTAATTCCGTTCTTAGTGTTAATGGTGAAATGGAAAAAGTACGACACAAAGTCATTCAAGTATTATATCAAATTTTGATAAACAGTAGGTTTAGCACTAAGTTTACTGCAGCTATCTTCATCAATTTACATGATTTGCCTGGCAAAGACAGAAAACCATCTTTTTTGCATCTGAGATGATTTAATTGGAGAATTGTTGATGGGTCTATACGGGTCGACTGAATGCTTCTATGTCTGCATGGACTTAGAAGTAACAGCTCAGATGTCCATGTTGTTTATCCAGCAAGACTCCGGAGGCCTTCGCGGACTATGCCAGGCTTTGCTACAGAGAACTGGGGGCCCACGTGAAGATGTGGATCACCCTGAATGAGCCCAATGATGAGATGGTGAACTACCAGGAGGGCCATGAGATGCTGCGGGCGCACGCTCTGGCCTGGCACGCGTACGACCGCGAGTTCCGCCACCTGCAGGGGGGACAGGTCAGTAGGACAGCGGTGTGGGGAGCTTTTTAGTTTAGGAAATCTTACAGAGGTACATGAAACAGAATGTTCTTTTTCTTTTTTAAATTATATTTTGAATTATTTTACATTTAAAGACACAAGAACAGAAAGTTTCAAACACCTTTCTGTGCTGAATTAATTTATTATCTCAAGTTGGCTCTTGATACTGAGCCAACTTTACTGTGCTGTAAAGGAAAAAAAAGCACCTGTATACAAATGCATCTGTCTGCCATCATCTGGTCATCATGTTTGTGTCCTCTCAGGTGTCTCTGGCTCTGCACATGGACTGGGTGGAACCAGCGTTTTCCTTCAGCCGTGAAGACGTGGAGCCGGCTAAGCGGGTTTTGGACTTCAGCATCGGCTGGTTTGCGGAGCCGGTCTTCGGCAGCGGGGACTATCCTCTGGGAATGAGGAGCTGGCTGCGGCAGCTCAACTCGCTCGAGTACAGCAGCTTTGATTTTAACAAACTGTGTTGTCCTAACTGGCTTATAATTATGAGTAGAACTGCTGCTCTGACAGCTTTGCTGTGACACCCACCATAGATTTAAAGAGCAGACTAGTAATGGATCTTTGCTGCTCTGCATCTTGATCATTAAATAAACAACACAACAAAGTTCAGGGTGTTATTAAATGTGCACTTCTCGCATACCTCTCTTTTGCAGCTTGCCAGTTTTCAACAAGGCGGACCGGCAGCTGGTCAAAGGGACGTATGACTTCTTTGCTATCAGCCACTTCAGTTCCAAGCTTGTGACTCACGCCAAGGAAAACTCGTAAGATAAACCAGTTTCACTTCTTTGTGTGTAAGTCATAGACACAGTCTTAGTAAATGATCAGCAAGCAGCTCGGATGCAACTGTTGGCGGCAGTTGAATCTCTATATCTCCACGTGTGCAGGTACACCTACACAGCCATGCTGGAGGTCCAGAACATGATAGACACCACATGGATCATGTCCCCCAGGCCGGTCGTGCCCTGGGGTCTGAGGAAAGCGCTCAACTGGGTAAGCCTGTCATCACGATCCAGACTCCGGAAATCTTTATTTGTTTCTTGGGAGGAGTGATGCTGAGCGGCTCTTGATCTTTAAGGTGAAGGAGCACTACGGCGACGTGCCCATCTACGTGATGGCTAACGGAGTCCAGGAAGACCCGGCCCGCTTCAAAGACAGCCTGAGGGTTTACTACCTGTACAACTATATCAACGAGGCACTTAAAGGTGAGGCCGAAGCGTTCTTATTATTGTCGTTTCATTTATGGAGGGAGCGAGCTCCTCCCTTTAACCGGCCCCCGTAGGGCCTAATCATTAAACCCGCTTTGGTCAGCTGACTCGGAGCACAGTCATCTGAGAACACAAACACCGACCAGCAGAGATACGCGCTCGGCTTTGAATAGCTGGGTCAAGGCTGCCTGCTGTCCTCCACCTGGAGGAAAACACTTTGGGTCAAACTCACTGAGTGCACGGCGCCTCGCAGCCACCGGGTGGCAGCTGCTCCCCGACAATGTGTGGATGACTGACAGTGACATGTTGTGTTTGCTCCCCCCCCCCCCCCCCCCCACACAGCGCACACGCTGGACGGCGTCAACCTGAAGGGCTACTTTGCCTACGCCCTGAACGACCAAAGAGACCCGGGCTTCGGCCTGTACGGCCAAGTCCACGAAGAGGTCATCGTCAAGGCGTCCCTGTCCAACTACCGCAACATCATCCAGCACAACGGGTTCCCCGCCCCGGGCGCGGCCCCCCCGCTCTGCCCCGCCCAGCCGGAGCCCTGCGCGGGCTGCCGGGTCCTGGCCAAGTGGCCCGTGGTGGGCTTCCTGACTCTGGTAGGTTCAGGGGTCCTGATCACACTGGGCCTCATCATTTACTACACAGCCAAGAGACACAAAGAGTGCTACTGATGGCACAACTGGTCAAAGCAACGCAGTAGAAACTGGGCTTTTGTTTAGTTTTTTTATCACTACACAAAGCTGTGCTGACATTCTGAATTGTCTGTATGAAGCTTAACAAAAAGGTCCAACAGCCACCCACCTGGTTCCTACTGTGGGTCACAGATAATTAACATCTGGGGAGAAGACTTGAAGGACTGGAGCTGATAATTCCTGACTAAAAAAGCTCATTATCAGTTCAGAGAAGACGAAAATGACAGATTTAGTCTACTTTATAGCAGAGTGGGTCTCTTCCGATGTTCGTTTGTGTTATTGTGTTATTATTATCTGTTTATTTTTTTAATGGACATATCACAATCATGTGTTTATGATTTCCTGATAAATGAGTTGGATCTTTAAAAAAATACACACCTTGAAGTGCTTCTGCAGGATTTCTCAGCAAGTCTATTTATGAGATTAATTCCCTTTGGTCGCCTCCGTAGAAAAAAATGCTTTTATTGTAACTTGTCAGAACACGTGCAGTTTAAATCCATGTTTCCATTAAATCTAAAACTTAACACGGCTTCACATTTATATTTTCATTAACTGTGTTATTTATATCATAATGGCTAACACAACGTGCCTATAAATCTATTCACAAAGTCTTGTTTGGGGATCATCTTGCAGACTTCTCAACTCCTCTCATAAGTCCGCTCAATTTCAAAACATCATAGCATCCAGGCCGTCTTCCATAAACTTCTTGTAGACTGCCATGAACTTGGCTACGAATGCCTCCAGGTGGAAGATGGCTTTGCTGCCCAGCTGCAGTCTGTGTTCATAGTGGGCTGCCATGTGGGCCACTTCTGTCTTCAGCTGGCCATCGCAGTTATTCAGCAGCTCCTTCACCAGACCCTGGGAGGTGTAGCAACAGAAAAAGAAGTTCAGTCCTCTGCAAACGGACCTGAGGTGGTCCGAACACTTATTGATGGAAGAAGAAGAAATCACTACCTTCATGATAATGTCAGGAGGTATGCAGTGAGTCAGGAGCTCATACAACCTGGCCCGGACCTCCAACAACCTGGAACAGAAATGGGTCGAAGTTCAGATCTGAGATGTCAGAGTGTGAAACTTCTATCCTGAATACAAATAACTAAACCCCTGTCCCACATTTCCTCTCATACCTCTGAGGACTCTGCTGGCTGACGATGGCATTGGCTGTTTCTCTTAGGTAGACCTCCCAGTCTGCTTCTGGAACCTCTTGATCCACCGAGAAGGGATACCTGGAGAGGTTGGAGTCAGCTAATCAGCTTGGCTTGTGTCCGTTACAGACCTACACGCGGATGTGTTGAGGAGTGATCGGCTTAGCCGTTACTCACTGCTGTACTCTGCAGGCCTCGCACATCAGCAGAGCTTTGCGGAGGTTGCGCCCAGACTTCTCACTGATTTTCTTGGCCAGCTCAGGAGGCAGCAGCAGGCCCTCCTTTTTACAGGCAGATGTGAGGACACTGCAGACCTGGAGGGTCCCAGGTGGAAACAGGACAACCTCATTTAACCCATTCAGAAAACACATCTGCTTTGGAAATGCACACATCTGAAGCACTCCACGGGCTTCTCACCTCCTCCGGGCTCGGCAGAGGAACTCGCACTGCCAGACAACGGCTCCGGATTGGATCAATGACTTTGGAAGTGGAGGTAGAGCAGAGGATGAGGCGGCAGGTGCCCATGTATTTTTCCATTGTTCGACGCAGAGCATGCTGAGCATCTTTTGTCAGTCTGTCCACCTCTGTTAGCAACACCACTGAGAGGAGAGGGGTCATGGTTCAGCAAAAGTACAATATTAATCAGAAAACTAACAATCCACCTAACATGAATTAGTTCTCAAAGAACAGCTAACTATCTATTTGTGCTTATGTAAAGCCCACTCTGCTGTATGCTGGCTACACAGCCAAAGGCCTGTGGGTATCTTCTACCTTTGAACTCTCTCTGGGTGCTTGACTGGATTTGCTGGGACTGAGCCACCGTTTTAATCAGCTCTTGAATCACCACACGGTCCTGATTTCCAGCATCACTGCACAACACACAACAAAAATGCATCATAGGGTTATGCTTCACCCCACAAAAGCTTGCCCATACAAAGTTTTATCATCAAAAATCAAGTCGCCACTGCAGTCAAAAGTAAAGAGAAACGAGCCAGGAAGAAATGGTAAGTACAGTGAAATGGAGATAAGTCTTTTTAAAATGGTTACCTCGGGTTGACCTCCAGATGATAGTTACTGGCTATTGTATTAATCTCGATTTTCTTTTTTGATGGAGCCTGTGGTTAAAAAAATAAACAAATCAGTGCAGAAATAATGTGAGAAGAGACCCTGCATGTACACAAAGTTAAGAGTCATAACTATACGTTTCCCTCTCACCACAATGGTCTGGTGCTCTATGCGGAGCTTCTCCACGCCAGCTCCATACAGCTCTCTCAGCAGACACATGATGCGGGTCTTCTTCCCCGCTCCAGACGGGCCATACACCAGCAGATGTGGAAAGTCACCACACTGGACCTAAAGAAACTCTCAGAGTAAGACATCCCTCCAGCAAACATTCAAGAGTAAGACCAAATATGTGGAAACGTTTACTCTCTGGACTCGGTGCTGTAAACAAGACTTAATCTGATTGATGTCATCTCTTAAGTTCAGGTGTAATGTGGCCCAGGCTCAGAGAAAATAGGAAGTGGAGGAATAACCATTTTATACCAAAACGATAGTAGTTTGTCATTTTCACTGCTCTGTATTACAATAAATTGGCTAACCCCACACCCGATCACATGTAACTGGATAATATAAAGCCAAATCATTAATGAAATGGCCAATTTAACTTACAACGAGCACTGCCGTGGTTAATTAAAAAAAAATCAATTATGTAAATTAACTAAAACTCTCAGAAACGACACAGAAATAAGTCCAACTGCTCTGATGAATTATTAAAACGCTGTGCTTAAGTTAAGTACTACAAACTCAATCAGGGAGCCCAAAGCTGCTTTTTGTACAAATTAAACAGACAAATGACTCAAAACGTCGAAGTAAACGCCTTTTCTTTGTAACTTATCCCCAGTTGGAGTTGCAGCTTTAATGCAGAGCGCTAAATGCTAATGCTAGTCTGGACACACAAATGAACAAATTTCCCTTCTTACAAGGTTTTTCAGTTGAGCCGCTTGTTCTTTGTGATAGTCGAGCTTCCCGAGAGAAGTCGGCCGGTATTTGTCCACCCATAAACTCATGGCGTTAAGGCTTCAGACACTCGGACCGTTTTTGTAAACAGCAGTCGGTCGCTAGCTAAACTCCCGCGAAATGTCAACTTTTGCACGTCAAACCAACCGCGCGGCCGCGTTTCCTCCCAAACTACGGAGGCTCAGGGCGTTCATAACTCCCACAAGCGACTTAGAGAAAGAACTGCGAAAATGCATTCTCCGACTTTGCGTGGCACCAGAACCAGCTGCTCGAGTCCAAAGAAATCTTTCCTTAAAATATAAATATTTTTGGCAAACTGATGTAAATTCAATTAGCACTGTTTAGGATTACAGAGGCTTTGGTGTACAGCACAGCAGAGTACAAACTAAATATAGAATATCCTCATATGAACTAAGAGATATTCACATCAGTGTCCACTGCCTTTCAGTGTTTCACCTTTGCTTTTGAATTTGTCATCTTAACTGCTTGAATCTCGTAACCAATGCCCCACCTGCAGCAGATTAATACTAATAACAAATACGTCAAACATAAACATAAATGGGGCTTAATGAAATACAAAAATGAACCTGAAAACTGAAGATAAAACCTAATGATTTTTTTCAAAAGGGTCAATTCTGTGTACCTTGGCCTTCCCCTGTAATCCATACCAAGGCTTGATATCTGCTTGCAATACAGTTGTATGGCCCTTAGAACAGGTGTGAGCAGACTTGTGTGAATACGCTACAACCCAGGACAGCCGTGGGTCAGGCATCTTGTTTAGAGAAAGCACAGAAGAGGACACAGTCTGGTACCACAAAGGAATTTGAGATAGTTAATCCCATGAGACAAAAACAAAAGCAGACAATATCGTCATGCTGTCCTTACCATATCAGAAGGTTTTAAACTTAATTCACCTTTTATTTGACCACTATGAGGTCAGAGATCCACTCAGTTTAAAAGTCCATTTGGATCTGCACTTAAAGAGCTTTCACTAATCTTATTTGAATTCCCTCACCATAATTAATTCTGTTTTCTGTGATGCTATGAAAAGGTCAAAACGGACACATTTTTAGCTTATCTAGAATAATGCAAACTTTTGTTGTCAAAATTAGGGCTGTTGTTTTACATATATCAGACAGTATATACATTACACAATTTCAAGATAACACAGCTTACATGATTCAACATGTGTATGGCTGGCATGCTTTTTCTCTGCACAAATGTTGGCCCTGTGCAAACCTCATACATCCCAATAGAACTTAAGGCGGACGTTTTTTCCCTGTAATCGTTTCAACTTTAGTTGTTACATATCAACTTCTGTTCTGCTGTCATATTCTTCAGTGCTTTAATTCAACCTGATGGAAGCAAATGTAAGTGGAATGATATGAGGAATGTTAGATGCAGCATGTCTCAGCAGGTTAGCGTAGCTTGTGTTAAGATACATACTTGAGTTATGGTAATGCAGATAAATCATTAGCACTGTGATGAGCAGAGGAACATCTGGGTTGTATTTATTACCTCAGTTCAGAGATGGATTGAATATATTTACAGTCCCTTTAACATATTGGGTTGATTGTTTGATGTGTGTTTTATGCAGAGATTCTGTATGTTTTTGTGATGATTTTCTGAACATTCTGTGTCATTTCTTTTGTGAAATGACACAAAAACTAACAACTTCCAGGCGGCCCAGGACACCTTGCGCAAACAAGGAAAATTAGTCATTTTCATTTGAATTTTTTAGTTAAAAGGCCAAAGCACATGGTCAGTTTTTTAAGATACTTTTCATTTTTGTTAAATTACAACTAATATCTTAATTTCCCGGCAAATTTAGCATGTTTCTGAAAACTCTGTCAGTTTATTTAAAGAAAAAAGTCTGTTAAACATGCTAAAGTTATTACACTTTTCCCATGACCAAAACTCTTCCCATCAGGAGCAGGTCTCAACAGGCAGAACCATCTTCAAAGTAAGTCTACAAATTGCAGGGCTTTACTCCTGACCAAAGACATTCCTTCCCAAACATTAAATTCTTTTTTTTTTTTTTTTTTTTTTTTTACAAACTTCAGAAATTCCACAATTCCTTCACAGCTTTTCAAGCACCATTAGTGACTTTACTTGTGTATTAAAGCTGCTGACAGCTTTGCTGTTATTGCAAAAAAGTAGAGCTTGGAAGAGATCGCCAGAGCTTAAGGACATTTTTTAGCATTACCTAATGTGTTGTCGAGGAATGTGTGTGTAAGGTGGAAAAAAATCTGTGGCCCTGAGCCGTATAGAACAGTGAGCAGATGGAACAGAGGTGTGGGAGGACTCCAGGCGTTCGAATCTGGGTCTGGTTTTCTTTCTGTACATGCATTTATTTAATCCGGCTGATTATTTCCAAAACAAAATGTAATATTTTTGTTTTTGCTGTGGGCCTGAATGATATGTTCTCCCTCTCGAAAAGCCCTTTCCTTCACGTGCAAAATAATAATCCCTCCCACTCACATGCTTACAGGAATAGCTCCAACACCTGCCCGTGGAGCTCCTTTTCTTCTAGCTGAGGTAATGTAGGAGGGAAAAGTATGTCCCAGCCCCTTTTTCACCCCTCCCCTCTCGGTAGTTCAAATCTTTACCTAAATAAACTCCGTCCCTGTCTTACTGGTGTCAGCACAAAGTTACTCCAGCTGGATACATCAGTGACGTCCCCGTTTTTCAGAGTTCGCTGTGGGAAGAGTTCTCTGATGTCCAGCCTCTGTAAACCTCTGTCTGGTATGTTGAAATCTGAACTTAATCTTAAATCTGTTGCTTACAATACAAGCACCTGTCCCATGTGTTAGAAGAATAGTCTCACAGTTGCAAATGCTCTTAAATAGGATAATGACTGCTTATTACCTGAAATAGATCTTATGGAATAACGCCATAGGAAGATCTTTTAAACATCCCAGAGGAGGTGTTTGTGAACATGTCTTCTTTTTGCACATGTGCAAGAAGAAACCCTTTTTTAAAGGACTATATTTCACCAATTGTTCATATAGTGTACACTATATCACGTTTCTTCTCTTTAAAGAATTTCCCCCAAATGTTTAGAGCTTTTACTGAGTGTTTTAATTGAAAAGAAAACGGCAAGCAGGGAAAGGGGGGGTTTGCTACAACCAAAATTAGCAATCTACCGGGAAAAAGTGAATGTGTTTGAGAAAAAAGTGTTGGTTAAAAAACAAGCATGTGTCTGATGGCCACAATGTGGTTAGCTTTGATGACCAGCGTGGTTTGCATGTTCTTCCAGTATTTTCTTGAGAGTGAAAAATGTTAGAAACTACCTCTAAACTTAAATGGACCCAGCAGAATCCCATGCAGCGTAATCAGACTTGCTGGTTCAGCTGTACAGCTTTCATGGATGTAAGCAGGTCTCATTTAACAAAAGCTCTTCAGTGAGTGGTTGTTCATGATTGCAAAGTATCCTGGAAGCCTGTATCTCTTAACTCATTGAGTTGCTAGTAAATCTCCTTACAAATCCAGACTTGTGTCCCTAGCACTGTATTATACATGCATATATTCTTTATAGCGTTCACATGTGAAAACATGACTCATACTTCTCCTATTAACACTCTCCTTCTCCTTCTCCTTCTCAGGTGTCCGGGCATTTCTGGTGTGCTCCTCGCTGTAATCGTGATATTCAACAGCTTTACTTTAATGACTTACGTGGGCCCTGTTTAAATGAGCAAAGACACTTTGGTGATTAAAATTAAATGACAAATGAGATCAGAGTGGGTGGCAATGCTTGCAGGTCCAGCATGTGCGCTGCCCGCTCCGGGACAGATCTGCCCCCAGGCTGTGAGTGTCCCTTTTGGTGAACCACAAGGACAAGTTCCTCTCCCGGCTCGGGCCGAGGCCGTGTCCGGACCTGTCCCCCTCCGAGACGGTGCTCTGAATCCTGCGGCCACTCGCGCTGAAGGATGGGAAGGGCCCAAGATGGACGACAGCCCCTCCGGCCGAGCGTCCACGTCTGGCTTTCAGCAGAGCGGACGCTGTGGCCGTAGCCTGAGGTCACTCGAGCCTCCTGCGGGAGGTCAGGCCGCGGGCGTCTGCTGTGGCCGCCATCTGGCTGTGTCCGTGAGCCCGGCGGAGAGCTGCCCGCTGGACGTGCTGAGAATAATCAAACACAAGCCCAGTGCCATCGTCTTCTGCGATCATGACCACAAGGCTGTGAGTGAGAACCCTGACAGCAGACAAACGTCTCCCTCACCCCCCTCAAAAGGGGAAGAGGATGAGGATGATGATGATGACAGTGATGAGGATGATCGTTTTCCCGATACGTTACAATACAAGGAGTTCCTGGTCAGCCGCCGCCGTAGAAATGTGAGCCGGAACATAAAGTGTCTGAGGAGGAAGCCGGAGGTTCTGTGTCAGGGCACTGCTCTGGAGGCTTCAGAACGGGCCGGCTCCTGCAAACCACCGTCCACGGTCAGCCAGGAGGAAGAGGAGGCGCGGCGGAACAATCGACAACAGGTAGGATAAAAAACAACACAAGGGGTCAGGTGATAACAAAGACGTTTCATTTCCTAGAAAGCAAGCCGCATGCCAGAGCTCCAGAGATCTCGAGCCTTTTCGTGGCTCCCAGAGGAACAGGTTGGGATTTGCAAAAGGCTTTTCAAATCAGAGATAATTCCCTAAAGCGGAGACAATGTGACATTGACTTATCATGCACATTCCCGAGGTCCCTGAAACTGAGGCAGATACATACTGTACGTGTCAACTAGAAACAACCCCATGTGTGCCTGGGCTTTTCTGATCCTCAATTCATTTCGTCAGTTTTCACCACTAGAGGGCAGCAGTGTCCAGTTTCAGGTTATTCACAGCTTTTCCTCCAAGAACTAAACAGTAACTGAAATGCTTAAACTGCATCAGAACACCCCAGATTACATTCATGTCCAACATTTATGCACCCAGACCTTTTTATAAAGATAAAACTTCACTAAATATTAGTTCATTTATATCTATCTACAAAACACAAATGTTCTCATTTGTTTCCATCATTTCGTTATAAGTGATGATTTAACCGTCAATAAAGCACAATCTCCTTCTTCTCTAGCTTTTCTGCCAC